TGGGTTGTAGGTTAGGTTTAGTTCCGTCAGAAATTCCTTGTATCAGGAGATTATAATGTTGCGGAGGAGATTAAATGGTTAGAATAAAATATTAGTGAGGTTAGGTTAGGAGTGGCTAGTTAGGTTAGGTCAGAAATCTTGTATAGTGAGAATATAATCTGGCGAGGGAGAGATTGAAGGTAGAATAAAATATAGTAGGTACCGTTTAGATTGCTAGTTAGGTTAGGTTTCAAAATCTATGTATTCAGGAGAATATAATCTGCGAGGGATTTGAAGGTTAGGATAAAATATTCAGTGAGGAGGTTAGAGTGCTAGTTAGGTTAGGTCAGAAATCTTGTAGCAGGAGAATTAATCTGCGAGGAGATTTGAAGGTTAGAATAAAATATTTGGGAGGTTAGTTAGTGTGCGTAGTAGGTTAGATCAAATCTTTGTATCAGGGAAATAAATGTGCGAGGAGATTAAGGTTTAGAATAAATATTAGTGGGTTGTGTTAGAGTGCTTGTTAGGTTAGATCAGAAATCTTGTATCAGGAGAATATAATGTGCGAGGAAGATTGAAGGTTAGGAAAAAATGTTGGTGAGGTTAGGTTAGTGTGGTAGTTAGGTTAGATCAGAAATCTTGTATCAGGAGAATATAATGTGCGAGGAGATTGAAGGTTAGAATAAAATATTAGTGAGGTTAGGTTAGAGTGGTAGTTAGGTTAGATCAGAAATCTTGTATCAGGAGTATATAATGTGCGAAGAGATTGAAGGTTAGAATAAAATATTAGTGAGGTTAGGTTAGAGTGACAGTTAGGTTAGGTCAGAAATCTTGTATCAGGAGAATATAATGTGCGAGGAGGTTGAGGGTTAGAGTAAAATATTAGTGAAGTTAGGTTAGAGTGACAGTTAGGTTAGGTCAGAAATCTTGTATCAGGAGAATATAATGTGCGAGGAGATTGAAGGTTAGAATAAAATATTAGTGAGGTTAGGTTAGAGTGTAGTTAGGTTAGGTCAGAAATCTTGTATCAGGAGAATATAATCTGCGAGGAGATTGAAGGTTAGAATAAAATATTAGTGAGGTTAGGTTAGCGTGGTAGTTAGGTTAGATCAGAAATCTTGTATCAGGAGAATATAATGTGCGAGGAGATTAAAGGTTAGAATAAAATATTAGTGAGGTTAGGTTAGAGTGGTAGTTAGGTTAGGTCAGAAATCTTGTATCAGGAGAATATAATCTGCGAGGAGATTGAAGGTTAGAATAAAATATTAGTGAGGTTAGGTTAGTGTGGTAGTTAGGTTAGATCAAAAATCTTGGATCAGGAGAATATAATGTGCGAGGAGATTAAAGGTTAGAATAAAATATTAGTGAGGTTAGGTTAGAGTGCTAGTTAGGTTAGGTCAGAAATCTTGTATCAGGAGAATATAATGTGCGAGGAGATTGAAGGTTAGACTAAAATATTAGTGAGGTTACATTAGAGTGGTAGTTAGGTTAGGTCAGAAATCTTGTATCAGGAGAATATAATCTGCGAGGAGATTGAAGGTTAGAATAAAATATTAGTGAGGTTAGGTTAGTGTGGTAGTTAGGTTAGATCAAAAATCTTGGATCAGGAGAATATAATGTGCGAGGAGATTAAAGGTTCGAATAAAATATTAGTGAGGTTAGGTTAGAGTGCTAGTTAGGTTAGATCAGAAATCTTGTATCAGGAGAATATAATGTGCGAGGAGATTGAAGGTTAGACTAAAATATTAGTGAGGTTACATTAGAGTGGTAGTTAGGTTAGGTCAGAAATCTTGTATCAGGAGAATATAATGTGCGAGGAGATTGAAGGTTAGACTAAAATATTAGTGAGGTTACATTAGAGTGGTAGTTAGGTTAGGTCAGAAATCTTGTATCAGGAGAATATAATCTGCGAGGAGATTGAAGGTTAGAATAAAATATTAGTGAGGTTACATTAGAGTGGTAGTTAGGTTAGGTCAGAAATCTTGTATCAGGAGAATATAATCTGCGAGGAGATTGAAGGTTAGAATAAAATATTAGTGAGGTTAGGTTAGTGTGGTAGTTAGGTTAGATTAAAAATCTTGTATCAGGAGAATATAATGTGCGAGGAGATTAAAGGTTAGAATAAAATATTAGTGAGGTTAGGTTAGAGTGCTAGTTAGGTTAGGTCAGAAATCTCCTCGCACATTATATTCTCCTGATACAAGATTTCTGACCTAACCTAACTACCACTCTAACGTAACCTCACTAATATTTTATTCTAACCTTCAATCTCCTCGCACATTATATTCTCCTGATCCAAGATTTCTGACCTAACCTAACTAGCACTCTAACCTAACCTCACTAATATTTTATCCTAACTTTTGATCACCAGATTTCTCACCTAACCTAACTAGTATACTCCCAACCTCACCAATAACCCGGGGGGGGGGGGGGGAGATCGAGAACGTGCGCGTACATTCAGATAGAGGGGACACGTCAGGGTGCTTAAGCAAGACGAGCTTGGCAACGTGTAGAAGTAATTTTCAAGGCCAATAAGGCAGTTTAGGAGAGTGAAATGCGATGAGAAGTACTTTCCGACTTTACGTGCTTGAAAGAAGCTTTCGTTGATAATAACGCCGATAATTTGTGAACCAATTGCATTTCAAATCGGTTTGAAAATAATAATACAAACTGCGCAATGTCAACTTTCTTATTTCTGGAGATTTTTTTTTGAAATTGTAACCTATGACGTTTGCATCATAAATAATGGAGATAACGATTGATAGTATTTATTGATTTAAAGGTATAATTCAGGTAACATATCGATTTTTGATCTTGATGGGATATTTATCCAAGCGCAAAAAAGGGAAGTGTTATACAAAGAAGTCACAACCTAAGGAGCAACTACAAGTCCAATCATCAAACAGTGGCCTACTGACGTGGTGGATCCCATTTTCAACCCAACACAACAAATAAACCTTTTGCTGGCCTTAGGGGCACCAAATAGAGCTCAAAATGTTCAGATTACTATGCGTTTGGTGGTATTTTTCGACCCTTTTTTGTAGGTACGGAGATATAGGGTTTCAGAATTTTTCTGGCCAAATAAATCATGCTTACTTTAGAAACCGTAAAACTGACAGGCGTCCCGGGTATCAAATTAAACGCCTCCGCATCGTCCGTCAGTTTAGTTTGACCATCTAAAGGACTAACGACCAATGTAATTGTGTCACCCAATATTGTCGACTTCTTTACCACGCACCATAACGGTTGGCCAATGCCTGTAAACGTTATTTAAAAATCTACAGGTATCAGATACGCCTACCGTAGGTCATCCCCGATCCGACGTTCTTATCAGGTAAGAATATTCGACAGTCACCATTACCGACATCTAACTGATAACCGTGATCCTGCCGACTTTCGATCGCAGTCCATATCACGCAACCCTTCCTAAATTTGTCATAGCTCCAAGTGCGATGTAAATCTGTAGGGCTCATCGATAATGCCAGCTCTGTGCCTTTTCCCGTGGTTTCCTTCGACAGCACCTTCGTTGGAATAAACTGCCCGATGCTAAACATTTTGTCCAATTGTGCGCAATCCTACAACATAACGTTTAGTTCCGATGTCGTTTACGATGATTCTCGTACGTCCGTAAGTGTACCCAATGCTTTTTGCCGCAGGAGTTTTGTGAGGGGGTCCGATATTGACGTGATCTTAATTTTCCCCGACATTTTCCCAGGGAGTTCCACTTCGATGGATAAAGTCGTAATGGACCGAACACACGCCAGAAGGGTCATTCCCACTTCGATAGTCTACAATGTTAAAAGATGTAAAGGCCAAATGTGGTGGCAAACCAGTTACGTACACTGTAGTTTATTTCCAAGACGAATTCGTTGCTCGATTTTTCATTTAATCGAGTTCTTTTCACATTATCATACTCACTAGTGGAATTTTTTCTTTTGTTGGTGTCAAATAAAAAGTTCTACGAGTAGAAAGTTAGCTACTGCCGTCCTATTCGAGGTACTTACCGTGTGAACGGAGAAGGGCTTGATTTCGGTGGCATTGGCGATTTTGCCACGAGGAAAGTATTCTTCAGTATCCATTTGCTCTTTCTTGTCTCGTCCTAGTGAATACTAGACATTCGCAGGGGCACTTTAAGATGTTATCTTCTGAAACACAAGATTCACAAAGGCATGAAAGTCTAAAAAAAGTTTGGTTATGTACACAAAACAAGCATGGAAGCTCGTAGTAGGTCAACTGTATATAGGCACTTTGAACTACTGTCATACCAGCATCTAAATCTAAGCGAGACTCATTGCCATATATCGAAACGTGATGTCCAATGTACACCCTTTCCCTTAGATCATATATGATCTAAAAGCCCTTTCCCTTTCAATTAAAAGGCCACAGTCGCCGCACTGTGAGACCTCTCGCGCAAACCACCATTGTTTTTGAAAGGCCAAAAAAGTTTTTGCCACTGGTATCCTTACTCACTACTGAGGGTGAGCGACAAAAAGTCTTGCTAACCGGCAACCACCTCCTTCAACCACTAAAGGGAATTGTTGTTCTCGCACGAGGTGATTCAGGGTTTGGTTATTACAATGAGGTTGGGTGAGAGTATACTACTATAGTTAGGTTAGATAATAGAGATAATTTGAGAGAAGGAAGGTGAACAAAAGCTAGGATAAAGTATGAGTGAGGTTAGGTTAGAGTGGTAGTTAGGTTAGATCAGAAATCTTGTATCAGGAGAATATAATGTGCGAGGAGATTGAAGGTTATGATAAAATATTAGTGAGGTTAGGTTAGCGTGGTAGTTAGGTTAGATCAGAAATCTTGTATCAGGAGAATATAATGTGCGAGGAGATTGAAGGTTAGAATAAAATATTAGTGAGGTTAGGTTAGAGTGGTAGTTAGGTTAGATCAGAAATCTTGTATCAGGAGTATATAATGTGCGAAGAGATTGAAGGTTAGAATAAAATATTAGTGAGGTTAGGTTAGCGTGGTAGTTAGGTTAGATCAGAAATCTTGTATCAGGAGAATATAATGTGCGAGTAGATTGAAGGTGAGAATAAAATATTAGTGTTGTTAGGTTAGCGTGGTAGTTAGGTTAGTTGTTAGGTTAGCGTGGTAGTTAGGTTAGATCAGAAATCTTGTATCAGGAGAATATAATGTGCGAGTAGATTGAAGGTGAGAATAAAATATTAGTGTTGTTAGGTTAGCGTGGTAGTTAGGTAGATCAAATTGGTTTTAGGCATTTAAAATATTTTATTCTAACCTTCAATCTCCTCGCACATTATATTCTCCTGATACAAGAATTCTGATCTAACCTAACTACCACTCTAAGCTAACCTCACTAAAATTTTAACCTAACTTTCAATCACCTTCTCGGACATTATATTCTCCTGACCTGATACAAGTTTTGTGAAAGTTTAAGACGAAGTAAGGCGTTGAAATATGTCTGTGAGTGCTGGGTTTACATCGTGAGCACAGTGTCGTTTAAAAAGGCGATGGACGAGCACGGTACGCTCTCAGTGAACCATTTGAGGAGCCCCTCAATCTTCTAGACTTTGAAATTACTTCGGTGCGTGCGTATGTCTGTGTGTCTGTCTGCTACCTCCATTCTCGGCGTCCATCTACGCTTTTCCCACCTCTCACACTCAAATACTGCGTGTTCTGAAGTGTCTGTTTTCTTCTTGGTACACGCTTCTCTAGTTCAGGCCTGTTGATTAATGTGTGACGGAAGCAGATACGTGAAGTAGAAAGATGGAAAAATTTTGAAATTTGGTGATGCCGATTGATATGAGTCACGTTTACTTTTAAATATCCCTACAAGTAAATATGTAGTAGGTCAACTGTAAAATGTCACTTTGAACTATTATGATAGTTGTTGAACTACTTATTCCACAAATTCTGTGCAATTTCAAGGAAACTTAAAAAATGTAAATACAGACAGCCAGATCGACACAGGACACAGGATCAAATGCTCGTTTTACTCCTAAAGACATATAAAAAAAACTCATCCAGTTACATTAGATCTAAGGCTGAATTATCCCAGGATGGAGTGCTACTAGGGGAATCCTCAGTGATTCATGACTAATTAAACAACATATCATTATCATAAGTTAAATAATTTACTCCCTATCGCAACCTTGAATGAAGGTTAATGTGGATAGAGTCTTTCAAACATGGTCTTACCACCGACGTTTGTAGCAGGTTTCCACGATGAAGCCGCGGTACGACAGATGAAATACAATCGGTTTGGCGCGACCGGCTTGTTGGTTTCGCATCTTTCAATTGGAACGGGTGGATTTTGCCAACAATACGGGTGACTAAATAATCTTGACGTCGCAAGTAACTTAACTTATCTTGTTAGCGATTATTCGATCAACCAATGCAAAGAAGCTTTACATAAGGCGATTAAATCTGGAGTCAATTTCATTGACACAGCACCTTGGTACGGTCACGGGGTCTCTGAGGAAGTTTTAGGGAAGGTGAGCAAATGCCGGGGTTTCTCTGTGAAATTTACGTGTAATTTGCAAATAGTGTTTGGAAGGGATCCCTCGACAAGCCTACTATGTTGCAACCAAGGTTGGGCGGTATCAACCAGATCCGAAATTGATGTTTGATTTTTCCGCCGGTAAAACTAGAGAGAGCATCGAACTTAGCTTGAAAAAGTTGGGAGTCGAGTACATCGATTTATTGCAGGTAAATCTACGTTACTTTTATCGTTAGAGCTTTTCAACTGTTTGTAGGCGCACGACATTGAGTTTGACAAGTCGTTGAGTACCGTTCTTCAGGAGACTCTACCGGTTCTGGACGAGGCACGTAGGACTGGTAAAGCTAAATTTATCGGTGTTACCGGATACCCAGTGTTCACCTTGGCCGAGTGCATTGAGAAGAGCCGTGTTAAAATTGATACAATTCTGAGCTACTGCCGTTTGTCACTTATCGATACCACCCTTCTACAGTATTTGCCCGATTTTAAGGCGAGGGATTTAGGTGTTATTAACGCGGCAGGGCTTTGCATGGGGCTCCTGACTGATGAAGGTCCACAACCTTGGCATCCGGCACCGCAATTTATTAAAGATATTTGCGTTGAAGCCAATGAATACTGTAAGGTTAGTGTCCTGAAGTTAGGCGGTTGGCAATACTTTAGAGTAAGATTTATTTCTTGAACTATGAGTATATTGGAGCAAAAATGCAGAAAATCATAGACCTAAAAGCAACAGAGATTGAGATGAACGATTTGTACAGTCAACGTCCTGTGTTCCACTATGTGTATAGTTCAATGCATATAAAAAAAGGGATTTAAATGTGCCCTACTCAAAGTCAACATTTTTACAGGCTAATAACGTTAGCCTAGCAAGATTAGCTACACACTACTGTTACCAACAGTCAGGTCCGGACACCACTTTAGTCGGCATGAATAATGTGGACTTGGTATGTGCCAATTTGGATGTTTTGTACAATGGTATAGACTCTCATGAGCAACAGGTGCTGACTGATGTACTAATGAGGTAAGTAGTAAACTAATTTATGCAAAAGCCACTGACTGACTGTCTTTTTTAGATTTTTTTCAAAATTGAAGATAGGAAATTGGGAGCAAGAAAATAACAAATTTAAAGAGACTTTGCCATAGAGCCACTGCAGAGAAGTACTTCGATATTTTTGTAGTAGGTATACTGTAGTTCTGTTATATAAAATGAATTGTAAATCAAGTACATTATTCAGTGTAGAATAAAATTCTAATGTGAGCACATTATAAAGCATCATAAAAAAAGGATTAAAAACGTGGCTGTTTACTTTTAGCCATGAAACTATTGAATGTTTTTTCTAGTATTATGTTTATTATAGTTTCCTAATATTATAAAAATATTTTTTTTAAGTTTGAGCATATCTAATAATGCTTGTAAAATTAGCACAGATATATACAAACCACATACCACATTTGTGTTACACTAGTATAATGTAGGTATAGTGCGATGAAGCAGTCTTGCATTCTGCCATTTAACTAATGAATTAGTTAATTATTCCAGTATTAATTTTTATTTAAATTTTGTATATAGTATGTTGGTATTGCTGCTGGAGAGCAGCCATCGTAGTCATTTTCATTTACCAAAGCAACCTCAACACAGCTAATGCTAATGAGGTGCCTAGCTGTATTCAATAAAATTAGTGTCTATTGACTAACTTTGGTGGTGAAATTTTCTTGTTTACAATAATAAATTATTTTATATTTCTATTATTCTCATTTACTTATGAAAAATTCAAAGGGCTGTAGCTTTTGATCTGGTAGCACGATCTTGGAACTGTTTGAAATTATGGATTCTACAGGTCACATTCTAAAAGAAAATTATGGCAACATCTAACTCGTCATCCAGGTCGATGGTTTGCTGCAACTGAACGCTGGTGTGACTATGACAAAAACAACCTGTTTAAAATAACACACGTTGTGAAATTCGTTTAATAAATGCTCGTCTGCCACTGGCCTTAGTTACAATAAAATTCGTACAAGTGCGCCATCTCCTTGTTACATTTTATAGTTTTTCAAGTTTAGTTGAGATGTCGCCACTTACGTAACTTTTTTCGAAATTATATTTGAATTTAAGCAATTAATAGCCTCGTTGCAAAGGGCTGTAACTTTTGATCCAGTAGCCCAATCTTGGAATTGTTTGAAATTATGGATTCTACAGGCCACATTCTATAAGAAAATATTTTTTCCGTTCGATCTGAGACAATTTTTTTTTCGGGGCAAAAAAAAAGGCAGTGTACAACCTTCCTTTTTACCAAAAATCGACTACACCAAAATATCTCGAGAAAACACTTTTTCTTATTAATTTGGGTGCGTAGAATCCAAATCAATTCGTACATTTTCGATCAGACTTCTCAATCAAAAGTTATAGACTAAAAACCAATTTCGAAAAAAAATTCAAAGGGCTGTAACTTTTGAACTGTTTGAAATTATTGATTCTACAGGCCACATTCTATAAGAAAATTTTTTTTCCGGGTTCATCTGAGACAATTTTTTTTTCGGGGCTCAAAAAACCTTCCTTCCTTTTTTTACCAAACATCGACTACACCAAAATTTCTTGGGAAAACACTTTTTCTATTAACCCTAATTTACAGGTCTGGGGTGAATCGCACCCCACAGCCACTTTCAATGTCCATAAGTTTTTTTTCTGAGATTATGCATGGAAACACGGCGCGCAGGTGGCGACAGTTAGAGTAGGGTTCGTTCCACCCCACGCCCATAAACTTGAAAGTTTTAGTGGCCAGTAAACTAGGGTTAATAATAATACCTATCTAATGTGTAAGTTGGGTTGCATAACTGTCAGCAGGCAATCGAAATTCATATTGTGTTTCATATGTATGCAGATTTGTATGCATTTACGTACTGTATATTATTACAATTAATTTATTACGAATATTTTACATTGAGCTATCTTATATACCTAATAATAGACATTTAATATTGCCTCCACTACGAGTAAAAAAATTTGTTTTTATTTAAGTAGGAAACTCAACTTCTTAATACTGTTTTAATTCATCAAAGAAACTTAAAATTAAAGGAAAATGTGATCGGGCTTATTCGAGAAGGAATAATCACCATTTTTCAAACGCCAATCTGTACCAAAATGGTCTCATTGGAGTTACTCCAAATTTGAATGGGCTGATATAATGCGAGAATTGAGAGATGGCGCTCAAATCGCTCCACCTTCCAATCCTTTACTAAATAACTTTGTTGACAGCCCTTTTGGCGTAAAGATTTGTACCTAAAAAAATTAATTGCGAACAGCTGGATCTTTTCTGGCCATATGGTCCCCATAATCGGGATCATCTGCAAAAGTAACACACTAAAAATGAATACAAATCATCAATACAAACCGTCCTCGGCTTCTTCCTCCAACTGCATGTCGTTCATAACCTCCTTATCATAATCGCCATTATTTTGCGCGTCGTACGCCTTATTGTGACCTTGAGCTTTGACACCTTCCACCTGTATACCCGGGGCGTTATTTTGTTGGACACGTTTCACCTCGTGCGGATCCTCAATGCCGAACGCATCGAGATTGTTTAGCGGCGGATCGAACACCTCTAGAGCCTTGTTTTCCCTATCGCCCGCCTCGACTTTCAGCGCGCTCTGTTTTTCCGCCTCCTCCTTCGCCATTTCGTTGACGATGATATTCGACCGGTATCGATTCGGATATCCGTTGTTTATCTCGTCTCGCACGTCCTTCTCCTCTTCGGGTTTCGGTTTCGAATCGTCGACGGCGGCGGCGGGCACCGGCGGTACGCCCGCCGGCAGTACCCGTTTGTACGGAAGAGGGAGCGCGGGTGGCTCGGCCTGTTTGTTAGGCGTTTTGCTCGATGTTACAATCGGCACGTGAATTGGTGCAACCGCATCGAAGCTCGCTTTGGAAACAAGTGAACTGCTACTGGGAGTGCTGGACTTTTGGTTTGGGTGTAAGTCATTGTTGGGAGCCGGCAAGACATTGTCGCCGTTATCGTTTGGATCTTTCGGTTCGTTGTCTGTTTGTTTAACTTCGGGAGGTTTTATGTTTGTGTCGTCCGCTTGCGCCTCATTTTGGGTGGGTAATTTTTTCTACAAGCTTACGTCTTGTATCGTAAATTGTGGTAGACACTTACCTTAAGTTCTTCAATTTCTTTTGTTAATTCGAAGTTTACTTTTTTTAAGTGATTTATGTCACTTTCAGATTGGATGTGCCCGTCTAGTGTTCCTTTCATCTGACTTTCGAGGTTTTCTTTGTCAACCTGTATCTGCGCATACTGGGTCTGAAAAAACGATTAGTTATGGATAGTAGCATGTATCTAGGTACATACTACAAACAAGATAAGCCATTGTTTAAAAAAATGTATAAAACACAATATAAAACCCCACAAAAAAAAACTAAAAAGAGACGATCATTTTGACACCCCACAAAAAAAAACTAAAAAGGGACGATCATTTTGACACCCCACAAAAAAAAACAAGAGGTACACTGACAAAAGTGCAAAGCAGGGCTGGATTTTATTTATTTTTTTATTTATTATCTCTCTCTTGATCTGGGCCCTCAACAGGCTTGCGCCCAATTACAGAGTGACCCGCTAATGCTTTTTTTAGAGGTGCCTCTGCAGAAGGATACCCTGATAAGTAAAAATACCAAAACAGACATTAAGGAAGTAGTTCTGGAGCTGAGGAGTGCGGTCTCGAAAATGATGACCGACGAGATACAGAGTTTCATTGGCACCATACTGCTTGAGAAGAACAGACTCCAATCAAAAACAAGAAAGTGCACCACTGCCGAAAGTGTAAGGTAGTGATTACTGTCGAATTGTTTCAACTGCGTGGAAGTGGGACACCTCAGGCACAAGTGTCAAAATGAAAAATAAATGTGTGACACTCTCCGTGGACGAAGCGCCCGCCTAACACCCAAACTGCAGATTACTCTGGACAGTTCTGTGATTGTTTTTTGTCTGTGAGTCCAAAGAGGGATACCACAAGGGTCGGTGCTGGGACCACTCTTATGGAACAATGGCTATATAAAGGTGGGGAAGCTGAGATTCTGCTTAAAAAAAACAATAGACCTACTAGGGAGCAGACTGGACAGAAGGCACGCGGAAAAAGTGATAGAGAAGGCAGAAAAACCAGTAACAAGTCTGCAAAAACTCTTCTGGAACTGTGACAGTCCACAGGAGAGCAAAAGCAGGTTCTTGTATCGGCAGTTAACAACATGGTACTGTACAGAAGCGAAATATGGGGAGGAGCCACAAAGTTCAAATGTGTCCAAGCAAAACTACACAAACTACAGGAAGATGGCGCTGAACGTATCGCGCGCATACCGTACAGTACCTAATAAGGACTTGTTTGTCATATATACCACCAAGCAAGACTGCTAGTGGAGGAGAGATGTACAGCTAGAAGGAGAACAAAAATGTTAGAGAAATGGTAAAGAGAGTCATGAGCCGGTGCAAATATAGAACAACGAAGGGGCCCATATACTACATGACAAAATAGCACAAATTGAAGTCAGAAAGTACCTTAAGATGTTCGAAATTCTTATCCTTCTCCTTAATTGACTGTTTAAACTGCCCCTCAAGCTCCTTAAGTTTCGACTGCAAGTCATTCACCTCATTCAACTGCTGTCGTTGTATCTTACTCGATTCCTCCTTAAAATCGTTATATTCGGCCTACAAGCTTCGTTAACCATAAAAAGAGTGTTGCGAAAACCCACCTGTAGTATATTATAATGTTGCTGCAACGAAGAAAACTTCAAATTAATCTCGCTGACTGACTTCTCGTGGTTCGTCTGCTCCTCCTCCAGTCGCGCGTCCAGCTCCTTTTTCGTCTGCTGATGTTCGGCCTTTTCCGTTTTGAGCGACTTCTCCAGTCGTTGTTTGTAATCGAATATCACTGCAACGTGAGGTGGTTAGGTTGGCTCTACTTCCAAGGGCCCCCCTTACCTTGTAGCTGCGTCGAGAGGTTCTCCTGCTGCTGGTGGCACTGTTCGTAGTTCTTTCGTGTCTCGCTTAATTGATTCAAAATGTTATTAAAGCACGCAATTATAATCGTTAGTGCGACTATTACAAAGATACCTAAAAGGATACGGCCCTTACTGCCCCTAACTACTCTTGACGAACTCATCACATTTGCTTCTACATACGATATGTTTACTAAACAAATAAAACGTAAACTATTTCATTGTTAGTAACATTTACTTTATTTACCCGTAGGTTGGTATGGGCAACACTGATTTTTGATAGGGTGTGTTCATTTGTCAGATGATTGTTAGATACAGTGTGTTCATTTTTAACAGTCATGTACGTACGATACTATGAGATCAAAAAAGGGCTGCTGTGTCACCTTTGGAATTTTTGTTTACATGGGAAATCGTATTTAACTTGAACTTCTTAAGGCGCTCGACGTCAAACCTTTTTTAGTAGTGCATTTACGTCCAGTCGGTCCAGTTTGGGTTATCGTACAGTATTCTAATTAAAGACCAGGAGTTCTTTTCTATCAATTCAGTTCCATCCCCCGACTCCCTATTAAGATCAACTTTAATATTCAAGAGATTTTTGCGTGGAAAGCGCACGTACCAAGAGAGGCCGCAGTTACTTTAAAAAATGGCGTCTAGTGTAAGGAGAGCGTCCATCTCGATCAGAGCTGGGTAGTGCTTTGAAAAAAAGTGCTTGCTAAAGGACTTTAGTGCTTAGAGCTCTGTGCTTCAATTACTTTTCTAATTCAGGAAAAAGTGCTTCAATTACCAAGCACTTTTTAAAAGTGCTTGGAGCTTCAAGCCCTATTGAACTGCTTGAAGCACTTTCATACAATTTCGAGCACTTCTAAAGAGCTTCAAGCACTAATCAAGGGCTTCAAGCACTTATAAAGAGCTTCAAGCACTTATAAAGAGCTTCAAGCATTTTCAAAGAGCTTAAAGCACTTTCAAAGAACTTCAAGCACTTTTTAAGGGTTTCAAGCACTTACAAAGAGCTTCAAGCACTTTCATAACGAAGCTCTTATCGTGAATTAGGTGACGAATTTAGAAAACCCTTAGTCTTACTCATTCCTTCACTCCTACTCTGACGTTACCTACGTGTTCTGTGCTTCATTAGTGATTAGTCTGCAGTCTGCACATCTCACTTTTGACTTCTTGTTTTTCGTATTGTGTGGTTTCCTGTGAAAGGGGTCGTACGATTTCGCGAACAAAAAAAGGAACAGGTAACAGTTCTGCCATTTATTAACGCTGCCCTATCATATTCAGGGCATACCGGCATACGTTAAGTTTTGTTATAGTTATTACGATAGGTATAATCAGATAATTTACTGCCGCGTATATAATACATAAAATACATTACCTGAACGGCAAAAAAAGTACCTAATCAATTACCATGCACTTGCCACTAAATTAAACATTTTTATAAAAGGCCAGAAAATAACATCAAACCGCCAAAATAGTAAATACCAAGAATAGTAGAAGTTTAAATTTTGGTTTGCAAGTTATTTTTTTAATTTAGTCTTAACCCTTATATCTGTATTACTTTGATTATAAGGAATTGTTATCTTTTATTGTCCTTTTATATTTGTAATTAAGAATTATTACCTACATACTAAAAGTTTACAAATTTTCTCTGTGCATTTCTTCACGTAACATACTATCACTAATTTCAATTATTTCAGAAGATACGTCTCGGTTAGGTACGTACTTACAAGTAACAAGTGTCAAGGAATTTCCGAGCAACATTCTGGATTTTTTTCTTGTAGTACCTACTTTTATAGCACATGCAGTTATTACTTCTACATTAGTCATTACCCATGGGTACGGGGAGAGTACTGTACCGATAACAACATTTTTTTGTTTACCTAATCGTTTTAAACGAAAATTTGGACAAGCAAAACTTTAGCGGAAGTACTGTTTCTAGCGTGTTTTTTAAAGTGTTTCCAGCAGGCTAGAAACCAATTTTGAAAAAAAATCAAAGGGCTGTAACTTTTGAACTAGTAGCCCAATCTTGGAACTGTTTGAAATTATGGATTCTACAGGCCAAATTCTATAAGAAAATTTTTTTCCGGGTCGATCTGAGACAATTTTTTTTCGGGGCTCAAAAAAAGGCAGTGTATAACCTTCCTTTTTTACCAAAAATCGACTACACCAAAATTTCTCGGGGAAACACTTTTTCTTATTAATTTGGGTGCGTAGAATCCAAATCAATTCGTACTTTTTCGATCAGACTTCTCAATCAAAAGTTATAGACTAGAAACAAATTTGGAAAAAAATTCAAAGGGCTGTAACTTTTGAACTAGTAGCCCAATCTTGGAACTGTTTGAAGTTATCGATTCTACAGGCCACATTCTATAAGAAAATATTTTTTCCGGGTCGATCTGAGAAAATTTTTTTTTCGGGGCTCAAAAAAAGGCAGTGTATAGCCTTCCTTTTTTACCAAAAATCGACTACATCAAAATTTCTCGGAAAAACACTTTTTCTTATTAATTTGGGTGCATAGAATCCAAATCAATTTGTACTTTTTCGATCAGCTTCTCAATCAAAAGTTATAGACTAGAAACCCTGGTTTCCAGTAATATGAAAGGTGCTTTATATTGTTTATATTTATATTAATTTATATTGTCAATTACTGTGATTCAAGCACTTTTAATGGCTTCAAGCACTTTCCAAGGGCTTGGTGCTTTGTATTTTCAATTACTTTAGAAAGTGCTTGGTAATTCCAAGCTCTTTAATCACATAAAAGTACTTAGGGCTTGCAAGCACTTTTATCAAAACAAAGTGCTCGGTGCTTAGTGCTTCAAGCCCTTTTCAAGAGGGCTTTACCCAGCTCTGACCTCGATGCATTGAAAGTGACATTTTATTTTAGTTGTTGCACGCCCTTGTCACAGTAGCGCTGCAACAACGCGTTACACAATAGCATACCCCGCCCTGCTGCTTCTCCGCGCCTCTTTGCAGGGTTTCAAAAACGCCTCGAGAGAAGGGGTTCTTAGGTGCGCCCAACTATTCGTCTATATACAAGGTGGTCTTCATAAGACAGATAAACTTCAAGGCTGAAAACAGGTGCTTTGTTACACAATTAGCGTATTCGATTAAGCGAAAAAAAATAAAATAAACACACGACTTTGAAAGGTAATGACGAAGTAGTTACGTAAAATGGTAGGTAATCAAATTACAGGTGTTCATTTGGAACGGATTTCCACGTCCGCCAGAATTCAGGAATTTAACAAGAAAGAATATCAGTTAAGTTTAGCAGTATATACAGGGTGAGTTTTTTTTCATTTTAAGCATTAGGATCTCGAAAAGCGTAAGACATAGAGATTCGGTTAAATGAGGAAAGAGTTGTAGTTTTAAGAGCTTCCCCAAGATATGCTTTTGTTTTTTTTTTTAAATCCACATTTACTAGATATGAGCGAAAAACAGATTTAGTGATTTTTCATTTAAACTGTTGTAGAATAGTTAGTATTAGAAATACAGAAATATGCAAAGAACAAAAATTGTAGATTTTTTCCGCTTAATAAGATACATTTATTAATATTTATTCTTCTTTTATAATTTTCGAGTTATAACGCAAACTTACATTTTTTTAAATGGTAATCATAGTTGGCTGTGACATTTTTAAAAAGTGCATTTTTTTCTGTTTACAATGATATAAGGTTCATTGTACTTACTTTGACAATTAAACCTGATACAGAACTGTTTGTATTATTAAGAGTAGTAAAAACAGATTTTGCTATGGGAAACATTTTTGTTCTCTTAATTACTGCCTATTATAATATTTAACTTGCAGTTAGTTGTGTTGAAATCAGCATAATTTATATAGTGTTTCCAAATCTAAGCCATTCTACATATCTTGAATTGAAATTCATTTGGTAGAAAATGAAGATAACATTGGCCTGTCCAATTTGCGTTGTAAATGAAAGGTACCTATCTCACTATACTGCATTCATTATAAGAAGGTAGTAGATGGCGCTGTGCTTGAAGACAAGCACACGCAGGAAAAATATAAAACGGCACCAAATTATTGTAAAGTAGAAATATCCAATACTGCAAACAGAAATAAATCTTTGACATTAACAGCTAATGACACTTCATGAGTTTAATTGACAATAAAAACTAACAGCTTGCAAAATTCGCCATTCATTTTATGTTTCAGCGTAATACTGACTCGAGTTTTAACCAATCACACTGAAGATCAAAGCTTCGCTATGCTTTTTATCGCTACCTTAAAATGAATACAGTATAGATATTGTTTTCCATGGCCAACTCTGTTTACTTACCTCTCAATAATACGAAAATTACTGCAGGGCGGTTATTTATTAAAGTACATTTAGCAAGCCTTATATCGTTATTAAAAATGTCAAAGCCAACTATGACTACCATTAAAAAAAATTAAAGTTTGTGTTATAACTCAAAAATTGTAAGATCTAAAAATAAATTAGTATGTTCATCATGTTAAGCATTAAAATGTCTAAAACTTTTATTCGTGTCATTTTGTTGTATTTCTAATACTAACGATTCTACAACAGTTAAATGAAAAATCACTAAATCTGTTTTTCGCCGATATCTAGTGAACTGTGGATTTTTTCAAAAAACAAAAGCATATCTTAAATAAGCTCTTAAAACGACAACTCTTTCCTCATTTAACTGAATCCGTATGTCTTATGGTTTCTGAGATCCCGATGCTTAAAATGAAAAAAAAAACTCACCCTGTATAAGGAAATGCTGGCAAACCCGAGGCGTCAGCATTTCCTCAATAACAATAGAAGTAAACTAGGATTTCTGTGATATAAATAGCGTGTAAGAATCTGCAATAAAACATTATCAATTCGCAATGGTCAAGTGAATTACCGAATTGTCGAGATTCTAAATAATCCCTGACCGATATTTTACCTTGTGTAAGATTCTAGGATTTACAACCCTAATGCTAGAACAGGTCAAACTAACAACGAAGCAATGTAATGTTTTGCAAGTTCAGCAATGCATAAGGAACGATTAAAAGGAAAGGGAATTTTTTTAACAAAATGATACTATGCGTGACCTCTAGTGGTAGAATAAGAAGTTACAAAATGAAATCGATGATGTAACTTCTTATACTATACAGTACATGGACTGTTTAATTGCAACTAAAATATGATCATTTATGACTAAGTGGCGGGAGTACAATAAGTAGTAACGACTTCTTTAAATTATTTGTTTAATTACGTATGTACTAAATTAATGCAAGTAAATAATAATAATAGTAGACAATAAACTAAATATAACTTTAGTTTGGACAAAAGGAGTATGAAACTTAAACTACGTTGTAACAATGAAGGTTACAATCAGGTACTTGCCTTGTTACGTCGTAACAAATATACACACACGCATTCAGACACGACATCCGTACAAATAAATAGAATACTATAATATTACAGTAATATCTAACAATGGTTGCTGTGTAAAAAATATTCTGTAGTTTTATATACATATACGAGAATGTACGCTTAATAAATTATGACACACTCTTAATATTCGATGTAGTTCACTTAGGCTACGCTAATATTTATATCGAATAATAATAAATAATTACATTAATCAGGAACTAAGATAAGTCATGGTTTCAAATATCGAAAACAAAAACCATAGATTTGCGAAACGTATCGAGACTGTACTAACTGGGTCAAAATCGATAATATTGTAGGTAGGTAGTTTGTACATTTTACAATAATCTAAACATTTATTAATACCGCATAGTAGGTGGCGCGTCGAAAACATCCACAAAAAATTTAAATCATAAATGACTAGAGTTTGTAATATGTAAGAATTCTGCACCGGCCACTACGAAAAGCTCAACGATGCGGGGAAAAGCGGTTAATACTAGTTTTAAATAAAAAATACTGAAACAAAACACTGTACACAGTCAGTAGATCGTTTGTGCGTAAGTTTGACTCCAAACTTGCCCAGAAACCATCTATCAAAATTTGAGTGGTCAATACACAAGTAAAGGGGGTTGTTGGTCCAATTCGTCCGGACCGGCGGCAACTAGCAAATGCGAGCGTTAATCTTTCTCTCGTTCGAACGGCACACAGTCCAATTGAGTAGTTAGTGCTAGGAAGGAAAATGAACACCTCAGCGATGAGCGAAATTTTGTACTCGTCTCGGAAATGCAACAAATAAATCAGTCGTGTATCTCGATTAATTGGACCGACATGCTTCGGCTGATATGTGGCAAGCATTGCTTACTATAATAGGAATGACCTAAATAAGACCTTTGGTTGGTGAAATTGCCAAACGCATCAAAAACTATACACGTAATACTAACGAAATTATGTCTAAAGCATTTAAAAAAATTGCAGTCTTCGTTTTGTGATTTGTTATTGCGAAATTATTTACAAAAAAAGTTACCAGTCTTCCTTTTCTAGCTCGTATCGCAAACGATAATAGCCGTTTGCTCCCATCTTATAATTTTGTTATAGCGTGCCCGTTGGGCGTCGATTGTTGGCAGTAGTTCTCCCGATTATTCTGTACACTAATATACTTATTTAGACCTATAAACGATTCAGATCTCGACGGCGGGCCCAGCAGCGGCTCTCTGGGACAACACTTGTCCGGCTGAATGGAGCCGTTGTTCTCCAGCACGCTGTTCTGCCGTAAACTGCTCAGTTTCGAGTCGAACGAAGACGAGGAGATGCCGTTCGGTAGGGGAGTTTTCGCGCCGAGCGACACCGAACACTTACGGAACTTTTCGGGAAGGTGCATCTCCAGCTGACCCGTATCCTCCATCTGGACGGACGAAATCGGAACGTCTAAGCACGGGGTTAACAGGCGGGGGTTGTTCGCGAGGAATTCCACGATTTCCGAACTGGTCGGGCGAATTTTGCTGTCTTGATTCCAGCAGGATTTCAGCAGACCTTCCCTGTAAATAAAAGCGTAATGAGAGAACACAGATCAAGGAAATTGGCGTGTCTCGGTTCCTGCCGATTATATCAGTTTCACTCCAATCTATGTCTATACAGGGTGGTGTTTTTAAGTGGACCATTAACAGTTTGGAATGTCAATTTTTTTTTTCTCTCTCTCTCTTCTAAAAATACAGTTAAGTGGAAGAGCAGACTGAAGCATTGCCGCAGTACTGAATTTCGCCCTTAATTTTGATGTACTGGAATAAATCTTTGTTTTTTTTTTTAATAATAAAGGCAATATTATTATTATTATTTCGGAACCCATTACCTTTTTTTGAATAATCGATCAAAAGGAATCATTTAAAAATATTTTCAAGATGGCCGCTTTTCCGGTTGTATAAGAACGGTATCGGAACTTTCTTATTTCAAATGACACTATCTTTTCTGATGGCATTTTCAAATTCCTCATAAAAAATTAGTATGACAGTCAATATGATGCCATGTCTAACTGACATGGTTTCAAAGTTATTTGACATTTTTGACAAAAAAAATAATAAATAAAAACGCCCTATTATAAACCTAAGTAGGTTTAAAAATAACAGTTCTAAGGGTCGACTTATACAATATCGTTCCTGATTGTATCAAAATTAATAAGAAGAAGTGTTTTCCCGAGAAATTTTGGTGCAGTCGATTTTTGGAAAAAAGGAAGGTTATACACTGCCTTTTTTTTGCCACGAAAAAAAAATTGTCTCAGAACGTCCCGGAAAAAAAATTTTCTTATAGAACGTGGCCTGTAGAATCCAAAATTTCAAACAGTTCCAAGATTGGGCTACTAGTTCAAAAGTTACAGCCCTTTGAATTTTCTTTCGAAATTGGTGTATAACTTTTGATTGAGAAGTTCCAAAACGTACATGAACCCCTTCTGATCGCCCAGGGGAGTTGCTATTAATTTTGGAGGTTTCTTAATCAATTTTTTTTACTACTTTCTCGTTTGGACGCTAGAGAGCCATTCTCGAATTTAGTCGATATATTTAATACCCCAAAACTTATAATTGATTTTGCCAAAATCTTTCTTAAGCACTTTTTATACAGGGTGGTTTGACTTGTGTAACGCATCATAGGGATTTCAATGTAAAATTCATAACATGCGATTATTGGCTCCCCAAATTATTTTAGAGCAAAAATGTATTAAGGTTTTTTTGTAGAAAATTAGTTTTCAATTTTTTTCATAATAAAGAAATATTTCAATTTCTAAGTATTCCATACTTTTGAAAATCAAATTTTTTTTATTTCCAAACATACAAAATATTTTAAAATCCAATTATTTTTCGTTGTCAAGATGAGCATTTTTGTAAATTTTTGAGAACTAAGTTTGCTTTACTATTTTTCGTTGTCAAGAGAATTCTTGTAATTTTCAAAAACGAAGATTTTTTCGATATTTTCATTTCAAAAAATACGGAATAATTAGAAATCTAAGGATCTTTTTGTTGCCAAATTAAGTTTTTTTTAACGTTTAAAAACTTCCTTTCGTTTTTATTTTAAAAAATACGAAATACATATATTAAAAATTTTCAAAAACCAAGTTTAGTTTACTTTATTTTCATTTTTTTAATTATATTTTTTGATATTTCCATTAACCAAGTTGGGATTTTTTTTTCGATTTTCAAAAATACGGAACTAGAAATTTAACGATTTTTTTCGTTAACAAGTTTTAAAACACGAAATAATTAAAATTTTGCAACATTAAGGATTTTTTTCTGTTATTTCCAAAAATACGAAAATTTTACAATCGAATGTTTTCGGCGTCAAGATAAGAATTTTTTTTAATCCACAAAAATCAAGTTTGGGTTATTTGATTTCATTTTAAAAAATACATTTAACGATTTTTAATGACAATGTTCTTTAAATTAAATGTTCAAAAAACAAGTTTGTTTTCGTTATTTCCATTTTCCAAAATACAGAATAATTAGGAATCAACTAATTTTTAACTCAATTTGACAACGAAAAAATCGTTCGATTTCTAAATATCTCGTATTTTTGAGAATTAAAACAACAAAACCAAACTTGTTTCTCGAAAATTAAAAAATCTTAACTGAGGAAACAAAATAATTTTTTTTTATTATTCCGGAGGTATTGAAAATTAAAATAAGTTAAACAAATTCTCAAGATCATTCCATATTTTTGAAAATCATTAATTCCAGATTTTTTCTTAAAATGACAACGAAACCGGACTTGGTTTTAGAAAATTAACAAAAAAATCCATCTTGACGACGAAAAATCATTAATTTCAAATTATTTCCTATTTTTGAAAATGAAAATAACGAAAACAAACTTGGTTTGTGAACATTAAAAAAAATTTTCGACGACGAAAAATCATTAATTTTAAAATATTTTGTACTCGATTTTGTATTTTTGAAAATAAATTTTTCCATTTTGCTTTTCTGATTTTCAAAAATATGAAATAATTAGAATGTCAATTTGCGATTTTTTTTAATTTGTAATCATGTTGGGTTTCCTTTATTTTCACTTTAAAAAATATGGAATTTGAAATTTAATGATATTTTTAGTTTAATTTTGTTTTGTTTAGTTATTTTTATTTTCAAAAATAATAAGATTTTTCTGTTGCCAAGTTAATGATTTTGAAATTGGAAAAATAAAACCCGCATTTTTTCAATAATCTGTAATGCTATGGAATTTTCTAAAACAAAAAGATATCCAGTTATCAATTAGCAGCAGTTCGAAATGGATTTTATGATCGACTTGGTTACTGTCTTGCAGTTAATGGAAACCTATTCGAACATTTTTTGTAAATTGTTATATTAGGAAACCGCTTTTAGTAATTTGGTCTTTCTTTATGTTGAATTCGCTGTTCCAAATAAACACTTTTTGACAGAATTTAATTTGTTTTATAGCTGACATTCCATGGCACGACGGATGTTGGCGTAGTTTTTGTATAATAAAATTCCATGGCATGACAGATTATTGAAAAAGATGGGGGGTTTTATTTTTCCAATTTTCCGTCTTTATTATGCAAAAAATTGAAAACTAATTTTTTCTACAAAAAACCTTAATACATTTTTGCTCTAAAATAATTTGGGGAGCCAATAATCGCATGTTATGAATTTTACATTGAAATCCCTATGATGCGTTACGCAAGTTACCATCCTGTATAGAATCCATCACGTAACACAGTTTTTATACAGGGTGTTTGGTTCTTTTTATACTACTCTGAAATACAATTCGTCATACGGACCGTCCTATATATTTTGGAATTTTTTGGAAAGAGCGTAAAAATTCCTAAATTTTGATGTATCATTAAATTCGAGAAACGCCCCCTAGCGGCTAAACGATTAGAGAGAGCTGAATGCTGTTTGCGCCAGAGATTTTCCCTTTAAAATTGAGCTCCAGAAACCTAGGTCCATTTTTATCTATCTCTTAAAATAAAACCCATTTTATCTTTGACAAAAACATGATTCAATCACTTTTGAATTAGAGGAATTGAATTAATCGGCAGAAATATACCTAAGGATACTTACAGTTGGGTTTTAATTCCGGAAGGCACACTCAAGATGTTGCCAGCCTTCACATGCTCCAACACCTGATTGTTACTTAAGCCTTGAAACGGAAAACTACCAAAAGTGATTATTTCATAAAGAAGAACGCCGTAACTCCAGACGTCCGAAGCGGGAGTGAACACTCCCAAGGTCAGACTTTCGGGTGCCATCCACCGTACGGGCAGCATTCCCTTGCGATTGAACTTATAGTAGTCATTTTCAAACATGGGTCGCGTCATTCCGAAATCTCCCAGCTTGACGACCCGCTGAGAGTTTACCAGGCAGTTCCTCGAGGCGACATCTCTGTGGACGTACTTGAGCTCGGCGAGATAACTTAAACCCCTCGCGACATCCAGCGCCATGGAAGTCAATTTCTTGCTGGAAACTTCTTCGCTTTCTTCTGCTAACTTGTCGTAAACCAAGTGACGACGAGCCAAGAGAAACGTTTTGAGATCGCCGTACAACATGAACTCCATAATCGTGTAGACAGGCTCCTTTTTCGTGCAAACGCCCAATAAGCGCACGATATTCTTGTGGTCGAACCGCTTCATTACCTCTGCCTCGGATAGAAAATCTAATTTCTCCTCAGTGGTCGAGCCTAACTTCAACGTTTTAACCGCGACGGCGAGCCACCCGGATTCTGGGAAATTCGCCTCACCTCCGTACACCGTACCGAAGGCGCCTTCCCCGAGTTTCCGATTGATCACGACCGATTCCCGCGGAATTTCCCACTTGTCCAGCCCGCCGATGTTCGACGGGTTTAGCAGGTCGATTCCGAGCGACTTCATGTACCTCTCAGTTAATTGCATCTTTTTGTCGTACTGCCGTTTGATAATGTACACCGTTAACACCACAACCGCGAGCAGGATGAAGGCGACGATCAAATTTAATATAATAATGGCCATCTCGCATTCGACATTCAAAAACTCGGCGAGACTATTCAAAGTGCAGGTGCTGGCGGGTAATGTTCCGTCGTCTGGGACTTTTCCGTCGGGTGTCAGCCATCTTATTCGACTTTTATTTAACATCAATTCGCCTCCGATCGTTTCACCCAGGTCGTCCGAAATGTTGGGGTGAAAGCTACCGACGATGTAGGTGCTGTTGTTCATGAACTGCATCACGTTTATTATCGAGAACCTCGACGGACCGCCTCTGAATTTGATTCGTCCGGATACTCCGTAGAAATCGGTTTGCTTGACCAAATTAACCAATTTGCTGAAAAATGTTGCCGTGTTAGTGATAGAAACACCACAAGAGACTGAAATAAAAATGCACATTCGATTTGCAAGAATTTTCCCCATTTCCTGTGGTATGGAATGACATAATGTTTCGCTATAATTAGACAATGTTTACTTACTTTGTCGTACTAAGGGAATGTAGAGCAGTAATTGCCTCTGGATCCTCCTTCACCAGTTGGTCCAGAGCCAAGGCGTACGTCCAAACCGCGTCATAGGCGAAACCGGCAAAGTCGGACGCGAAATCTTGAGCCCTAGCCTTGTACTCCGTTTTCCATTGGCCTACGGTTTTGTTTTCTTGCATTATTTGATCGTCGGGCGCAAAGTACGCAGATGTCAATGAGAAATAGCCATTAATCGCCTGGAATTAGAAACGCATTATAATTACATAGCATTGTGGACAGTCACAGTAATTTAACTGAAGATTTTTCTTGACTCAGATGTCAAATCTATACTGGCTCCAATTAAAACCAAGTCAGAATCTTCAAAGTGATATATACAGATTTAGACAAAATAGAACAAATTCAGAAAAGGTAGGAAAGTAGGAAATACAGTTCATCTTCCAATAGGCTGGATATTCCTAAAATTACTTCTACTATAAAACGACAACTGCGCAGTCTCAAACACTCTCCCTGTAACCTCAACTATAAACAAGTAACAAATTTTACTCACAATCGATCATTTAAGGTAAAGTATATAATTCAACAAGGTGTTACTTTAACTGTCAATAATAGTGACACCGCCAATGTAACCATTAATGTTTACAACAATAGCAAATAGTTTCGTTCTTCTTCGTAATTTGCTATTGCTGTAAACATTAATGGTTACATTGGTGGTGTCACTATTAGTATAAGTTTCATATAAGGACAATATGAATAGCAATTGCAGGTAAGGAAAGTGACAGATGCTAGCCGGGAAAGTGACAGCTAGCCGGGAAAGTTACTTTCCCGGCTAAGGTGAGTAATGAGTCGCTTCGCAACCGCTATGAAGGTTAGGAATTCAGATAATACTAACCGATTGTGAGTAATAGTAGATTACATACCGAGCTGGGAGGTGGTTCATTACCTACCCCGAGGGCTTAAGGTACCTCACCGACGCGCGAAGCGCGGAGGTGAGGTATAAGCGCGAGGTATGTAATCTACTATTCCACAATCACTGTAAATAACAAAAGGCGCAACAAATCTAAATATTGGAGCAAATGTAACGGGAGCCCTTTGACGGATTTTATTTGCTTAGCATTTTGCTCAATTTTTTTGAGATTTTAGTTGCATTATTTTAAGCTAATACGCCCATGTGTGTGCGGGTACACCTCTGTTGGTTTTTAAGTTATTCGCTCATTTATGATAACCATACAATTTTATATTGATATGTAGTGTTCTTCTGGCATTTACCCCTGTAGGGGCGGGAATGAATAACCGTACAGCGTGTCGTAGAAGGCGACTAAACAACAGCAAGTCAGCCGCAACCCTAGCGCTGAAATATAAGGGCGAATTTGACTTCCGATTCTGACGATTTTAGACGATATTAGTCTTACACATGGTAGTACGAAAGAGTGGGCCTGAGAGCTACTCCCCAGTTTTGGAAACGCGTTACGAGATAACTCGGGCACTAGGGCACCAGGAATGGTGAAGATCTTGATATCGTAGACAATGTAGTGGTAGTTTAAAGATTCGGACGATTGAATTTTAATATGACGTGATTATGAATTTTAGGTTCCTTATGTAGGATCTTCAAACCTTGTTACATTTTCAACAAGCAGAACAAAGTTAGGTAACGTTGTAACGAAGCACTCATTTTCCGCCTTGAAGTTACCAGATTTAGTGATCACCCTGTAGATGAACACCCGGTATCCAGAAGCGTTTTCAAGTTGGGCGCTTCGTTACGAAAAGTGTCGTGCAGAAAGAATTTATGCTGGTTCTAGGAAGTTGAAGATAGTAGGTAAAAGTAATTGATTTAATTTCAGCCGCCGCTACCGTAAACAAAAGCTATAATTAATTCGCCGTTTGCAACCGTTCCCGTCAAGATATTTCAATTATCTTTGTTGCGTCCGAAAGCTACTGTCATTTAGAAGTCGAAAGCGAGCTCCGTTAAGTAATTATTAGCAGGTTTCGGTTTCCTATGTTGTTAGGCAACCCATTTGCAATGTGTTTGTTAACATATTAAGATTTCAAAAAAATATATTTTACTCAGTTTGGTGACGGTTGTGGGATCTTGGACTAAACAGCGTGAAAAAAATTTCAAGAAAAATCTCAACATTTAGACTGCATAAATTTCCAAATTAAAAAAAAGGGTATCACATAATAGTTTATTATGAAATTTATGCAAGTAAAGACTTACCTCAATCATATTTTCCGTTGTACAATTCACTTTCTCATTGGATAAGGTGTTGAAATAATCTGTGTCGTACCAAGATATATTCAGCCAAAGCGGTAGGAACCAAACGTAACCCTGCCTTGCGGTCATTTCCAATTTGTAGGCCTCGCACATTACGGATCGCGCGACGTCGTCAAAAACGTCGGCGATGATGATTTTCGCTCGTTTGCGCTTCAGGTCCTCCAGGTACTGAAAATGTGTTATCGTAAACATTTCACTGAACGACTTTGAGTTAGTTAAACAAGATTTCTTGTCCCCTCCCATTATAGGAGCACTAAACTTTTTAATTTTTATGAAATTTTGGAGAAAATCCCATTTTTTTGTTTTCGAAAAAACCGAAACTAATTTCCAATATTTGCGCTATATCACTTTTATATGAAAATGTTTTATCTCCGAGATGGCAAATATCATTCGTATATATGACCAATTGGGATTTTTGGTTCCTGAGAAAAGTAACATCAACTTTGGGACAGGGTTGTTCCGGAACCGGAAGTGTCAGGTGGCTTACATTTGCACTCCAATCCTTCTCCTGCCCAACAAAAAAAAAACGCAAGTCGATATTTCAACAAATACGGGGATTGCAAATTTTTTATTGTTCGGTTTTTTTACAATATTTCGGTTCCTAAGGGTTCCAGATCAGAGTTGGACTGGGTCACTGGGTCAATTGGGTCACCTGGGTCACTAAATTAAACTGGGTCACTGGGTTGTTGGGTCACGTCATACTCTTTTCAGTTAGACCCAGTGACCCAGTTTGACCCAGTGACCCAGTTTGATCCAGTGACCCAGTTTGACCCAGCGACTCAATTCGACCCAGTCGCCTAGTTTGATCGAATAACGCAGTTAAGTCAGTGCCCTCGGTTCAAGTGTACAGATTATGAAATAAATGAAATGCTGGTTTGTTGAAAAATAATACTCGATTGCTTGACAACTGCCATTTCTGTGATGTTTGCTTTAATACTGCCGTAAAAAACTTTCCATGTCCCGAATTGTATTAGAATACTGTTATTTCTTTACTTCAGGGCTTACCAGTTTGCTTACAGGTGTTCATTCACATTTAATTTTTTTCTACTAGTTAGCTTAATCCAAATAAATCTTTTCTCTAAATACTTTCATTGACTACTTGACTACAAACTATAAACAAATGCATTTGATTTTTTTAGGTATTAGTTCTCTTGAATGAAATTGGGCTACGTGCTTGTTGGCGAATATTATTGAGGAAGTTTTTTTTAAAATTAAAAGTTACTTGAAATTGTTTTGGATGATACCTAACAATAATTTAATTACTGGGCCACCGGGTCAAAACGGGTCACTGAGTAAAGCTGGGTCACCGGGTCAAACTGGGTCACCGGGTCAAACTGGGTCACCGGGTCAAACTGGGTCACCGGGCCAAGCTGTGTCACCGGGTCAAGCTGGGTCACTGGGTCAAGCTGGGTCATCGGGTCAAGCTGGGTTACCGGGTCAACTGGGTCACCGGGTCACTGGGTCACTCTATGCTTGACCCAGTCCAACTCTGTTCCAGATGACCCCGCAACTCAAAACCGACTTCATTTTTGGTCAATTTACTACACTTTTTGAAAATGTTCTCAGAGTTGCACGAAAATTACATCCTATAATACAGCGGACAATGGTCACAGATTCGTTCTCGGAGCCTTAGGGACCAAAAAAAAAAGGTAAAAACCGGACATTACCTCTGCTCTAAGATATAGACTTGGTGTTTTGCGATTGACAAAAGCATGAGAGGGTGGTAGTATAAACTTACCATCCACCTGGGACTTACAGTTCCTGAAAAAAGTACTTAGGGTTAGAGCTGTTCTGGAACCGTGCCAGACAAGATATCTCAAGAAAAGTTACACAGTTCAAAACCAAAACAAAAAGTCCAAAAACCTCCCGAACGCAACACAATAAACAAAAAATTTAGAGTCACTTACCCTAGTCATCACAACCACATCCCGTTCCCGTGGGAATTTCGTATTCGAAATGAACGAGATTCCCTCCATTTCCAATAAGTTCTCCATGTGCGTGATGTACTCGGTATATTTTTGGCCGTCTTCGGTTAGAGAGGCGACCCTCTTCCATTCGAAGGCTTGAAACATTTTCAAATAGACATGCTTGTATTGCTTGTTCTCGCCGATCGTTCTGAAAAAGTAGGGATATTTCTGGCGATCGGAAAAGCTGGCCCCCTCGGCACTGTACGATATGACCAAGGTCTTGTAATGCTTCGAGACGCCCGCAAGTGGTTCAACCGTGTCCGAACACGCAGGTCCGAGCACGCCGACTAAATTACTGTAGTAATTGTCGACGATGTAGTCGATAAAGGCTTTCATGACCTTATCGGCCTTACACTGTCCATCCGACGCCAACAACTGGAGGGTGTAGTCGCGTAAAATTGCGCTGTTTTGATTAATCGCCTCTCGCGCCATTAGCGCGCCTTGCAAAATACCCTTGCCCATATACGACGAGCCGGTCAGCGGGAAAATTCCGCCAATGTAAAGGTAGCTCTTCTCCCGGTCGCTTACGGGAATCCATTGCGTCCACGACGGTTTTCTTTGGAGCATCCACTCGCACGCGATGTCGTAGATTCCCGAGGTCTTCGATCGTTCGTTGTACAATTCGAGCAACAGATCGTAATCCTGTTCGGAAAATTTCAACCGATGCAAAGACTCGTAGGCGACCTTCGCGTATTTTTCCAACTTGCTCCAGGAGTACTTGACCATCCTAATCAGTTCGTATCGTCCGACAAGCGAAGAAGTAATTAACTCCGCACGTTTAAAGTTCACGATGATGTAATCGCGGTCGTGTAGAATAATCTCGCTTGGCGTCCAGTTTAGTATAACTAATTTTTGGTCGGAATTTCTGCTGTTTTTGAGCTGAGTCACCACGTGCTTTAGGTTGGGACCCAACCAGACTACTTTGACTAGCAGCTTCAGATCGTCAATTTGTTTAATTACAAATTTGGTATTGTTGTAATAGGGTGCGAGGAGAATGGCGCACGGAACGTAGCTAAATTTCGTGGGGCTAGTGCACTGGGGAGGAGTGTACATGCCTTTGTCGCAGACGCGGTCCGAACAGTAGTAATTCGAGGAGTCTCTCGAGTATGAGCTAATGAGATTGCGATCGGCTTCGTTGAGGATGTCGAAGCTTTGTACGTATTTGGAGTCTTTGAAGGAAGACCAGTGGACCTCCCGTTCCATTGGTGGTAATTGCATTGTGTCCTTCGTGAGCGGTATAAACCAGCCTAGTCTGATGGGAGGAGCTATCGTTCCACAGTCTCGGACGTGGTGCGTATCCAATAAGGGAATTGTGTCAAATTCGGGAGAGACCCACACTTCGACGTTGATCATTGTCCGTGGTACCCTGAAAGATGAGCTTAAAAGAAAGGTACTAACGTTTCGTGATTATTTACGTTATATTCGATTCGACCAGTGGTCCCGATAACCTATCCATAACTTCCTCAACGTCGAGATTGTCATCTTCGGGATAGATCTCGACGTTCGGATAACCGAGGACTTCCTGGAGGAATATTTTGAAAACATGCGTGGATAGTTTGTGGGAGATGCTGTTGGACATTTCCAACGTTATATTCAGGAAACGCCCCTCATAATGAAGGAAACGCTTGGGATTCACCTCTGAAATGGACTTACAGAACAAGTCAGATGAAGAGTAACTCACCTGTCCGATTCACTAGGCATTTATTGTAAGCGGTTTCGACAAACGGAAGTGCAGCAAATGTCATACACAGCAACCCAAGTAACCTTCTGATTTTAGTCCTCGGTAACATCTTGTCCAATTACTCATCTGAAAATAAACGATAGTTTGTGAGTGTGCAAAAAACCAAAAATATGAATGTAATAAAGTAATCATGAGTTAGCTACTTTCATAAATTGCAATCATTATTATAACGCCTGACATTTATCTTTTACCATGTGTGTTATTTGTGATCTGATATGTATCGTTCTCTTTTTTTTGTTGTACAATGAAATCGGCTCAAGATGTGTGTTAATCCAACCTATAGCGAAAAAAATAACAGTAAATAGTATCAACGCAAGGCTTCCCCCGTTCCCACTCAGTTTCAGTGTGTTCAAACATTGAATGGGCTCAGTAAAACAACTGATAAGTGAGAAGGGTCAAGTTCAACATATTAGCCTTATCAAACATCTAACATTGCCACTTACTATCCTAGTGTTATTATGAAAATGCTGAAATTTATTTACCGTTTACTGATTGGACAGAAAAACATTTCATCTTTTAAACCCCCCACAAATTCAGTCACGCAGGAGTTGTGCGCGTTTACAAGGTCTTTCTGACGACACTAATTTGACAACAATCGGAGCAAAACCGATTTTTAAAAAAAAGAAAAATCACCATAGTATAACACGCTCGGTGACGGCGCCCCGATGTCGCCGACACCACATCATGTAGCCCTATCCCTACAGTTGTTAATTACACGCCCCCTGTAGCTAGATGTACACTTCTCGTCTTTCTACAAGCGATCTTCTACGGGCCTGCATTTGCTGCCAGGTACCTTTTTAGAAATAAATTTGCAAAAATGCGAAATAAAAAGATGCAAGGAAGGAAGTGTAAGTAAGAAAAAATCTAGAGAGGAAGCTGAATTGAAAGGGAATTGGGTTAAAGGCGGATGCGTAACTTAAGCTCAAGAAAAAAAGGAAAGCGTTTGAAGAACTTATGAAATATGTACTAGTGTGTCCTAGTTTGGAGACTGGCGAGTATTAGCTGTTTTTAAAGAGAAAGACTTGCGGTTTTCGCGATCATTTGCCACTTTTTTGTGAAACGCAAACACAATCAATCTAGCAACGTTTGTTCCTGACATACAGGGTGAAAACGAAAAGCTTTTTTGAGATCTTACTATCCATGTAGGATAGAAAATTGGTAAAAACTGCCTAGTTCAGATATTTTCACGTGGAATCCAGTGGCGTAGAAAAAAAAATTTGAACCACCGCTTTGAGATTTGGTATTTTTTAAATACGACACTCCGTATATTTTAATGTCATGTACATCCTGATTACATTGATGTATTACAACATTTTTGAATTCTATTTTGGGCAATCGCCAATGGGTAGGTTAAATATGCCTCTTGAGTTCGTAAGTGAATAAAGACCCACTGGCATTGATCAACTTCCGAAAATTCCAAAGAATTTACTACGCAAATGTTGATCAACTCCTGAAATAAATCCTGTATACGAAATGAAAAATCTGACATGAACACTACATCCTAGTCGCACAATGGGTTCGAATAAACACACGAGTAACTGATTGAAAATGACAAAATTTATTCCGAAACACATTGAATGAAAATTGAAACAGCATTCTTGAAAGAAAGAGAAGTTGACAAAGCTTGTTTAGAGATACCCCGCACGCAGACGGTCGATAATTAAAATTACTTACAGTTTGTTTTCCCTTTCAATAACCCTAATAATCTGGTCATGAATGGTTTGCGATAGACACAAAAACACTCGCTGACAGCTTCAGGAAACTTCACCTTGTCTTTTAAAAAACTGGACTGAATAACTTGAAGTAGCATGATGAACCAGATTCTCGGCGGCTGTTCTGACGGTAGAAACTTTTAACTTTCACTAAGCAGCCCCACTCGGTCTAATATTTCCTGTATACGGACAAACCACACTTTGTAAACCTTTTATTAAGACTGCTTAACTTCTTTTACACACTTTGTTTCGAAACTGGCGAACTGCATCTTCAACAAAAAGTAAAATAGGCCGTAAACAAATTTACATGCTCTTTTCCCCGTCGCGAACCCGACAACAGCAGCCCCATTTTGTCGTTGTCTCAAGTATTTACGGGAGCAGCATAGAATAACCTCCTTTCTCCGGTATTTACAAATAATGCGCCAATCACAAGCCGGCTGCGAGGAAAAGCGTCCCCACTTACGCTGAAAATAATGCGCACATCGATGACCGCTTGCATCTCTGGTCATCAGCACCCGAAAACGTGCGTTAATTAACTTACGTCCGATAACAAAACCTCTTATCACAAACAACCAGAACAAAACCTCTTATCACAAACAACCAGATGCCCCTACATGTTTTTTACATGTCCCGTCATTATTAAATAACGCCTACATGACGTTGACAATAATAATTTTGTATGCGTATGTTAAATCAGAGATCTATACAACTTTCGTTTTGCAAATGCCATGCCTATGTTTTTTTTAGGATCTTTGAAAAGAGCACTCAATTTGCTCTTAGGATAACAGACTCAGCACATCCCGACAGCACACGGCATTCCGGACCAACTTCCACGGCTTTCTAGGTTGAACTTTCATGGTATTCTCATTAAAGATCTCAACAAAAGGAACCAACTATCACCCTTCTTTATTACCCCTTATCAAAATAGGAGAATGAAGATTTGGAGAGGGGGGGGGGCACTGGTTTTACCCTTCATGGTACTCTAACGAAAGGGTTCAATGAAAGAAACTAATTTATACCAACCATAGTCCTCCTCGACCCATTATCGAGATCGGTTATATTCCTTATATCTCAAGACTCCCCTCCTCAACTTTGCAGTTAAGATATTCATTTCAAACTTCGCAGGGTGACTTGACTACTTTTTTGGGGGCACTGGAAACTGCAGTGCTTTTTCTCTCGTTCCTTTTGATAAATTTGTACATTTTCCAAACATGTTTTTCTATTTTGCAAAAAACGAGTCCAAATGCCATATTGAAATGGAAGTCAAAATATTTTAGGTGGCTACACAAACAAGATTTAACAAAAAATGGTCAGCAGTTGGAAACAAACAAAATGGGGAAAAAAGAGGTTGGTGTAGGTCAACGCTAGAAAGGATGTTGGCAAACTACACTATAAAAATAACGATCACAACAAATTTTAAGCGTGTAACTAAATTAAGAATTAAAGGTTAAAGATCGTGCCATTTTCAAGTGTGTTTATCTATAAAACTTCCAAACAACATTCTACTCTACCTAGTTATAACGGGCGGATTTCAGCGGAATAATTAGCTTCAGTTGGACGAGGAGCGCGAATTGAACAATCGCAATGCGGAAAATTGGCCTCATCACAAATAATAAATAGATCGTGAGTCACGGATTGAGTTGTTATTAGAATAATGGCGGCGACCCATACTTTTTTTGGGAAAACTCTAGAAAAGGACGAGATACAATTTCGCAAATTTTAATTGGTACGTTGACCGAATATCGTGACGTCAAAGACATTTAAATATTCATTCACGTGGAAACCGGTTAGATGAAAATTTGAAATGATACACAAAAGAAATTTTGGGGTAACTGACTCGGCTTAATCGACTTTCACCTACTCCTCTTTCATATTTTTCCGTCATCGACCGATTTTTAACCTCAATTGTAAAGGATTTAGGCAAAATATTCAAAAGTCTCTCATTAACATCGATACATGGAATGAGGGGCAATTATGCGAAATTGGTCGATTTATATGCGAGATCAAATGTACGTGGGCCTGATTTTCAAAATCTCCAAATTCCTTACCAGTTTAATTACCTCAAGTGCTTTAAAAAACTCGCCCATGGTGTTCCGCAAGGATGAATACTAGGGCCAATCGTATTGCTTACTTAATTAAGCGATTCGTCAGACAGTCAACTACAAAATCAAAAATTGAATAATAACAAGCAAATTTGCAATACTAACGGTAACTAAAAATCGTGAGAACATTTTTTCACGCGACACTTTTTTGGGAATAACCTTGACTGCGAATTACAAACGAATAAAAAAAGCCCACTTCCTTTGTCTATTTAAATAGCGCGAAATATGTTAATTTGCACTCTCGGTTCGGTCCAGAATTTCAAAAACACGGACCCATGTTTCGCCCACCCTTGCGTTAAACTGTCACGACGGTCCACATACGAAATTCGGACGATCGACTTTCAGACAACCTTCACGTTCATTAAATTTTAAATTTGACAACTTACCTATCGGTCAAAACAGTACGGTGGCGGACTTGGATCTGGAAAAAAAAAGGCGAACATTAACCACTGCTGTCTATAACAATTATATTGGGTAATAAAAAAAATTATTTGTCCGGGGGCAAATGGCGTTCATTTACCGCAGATCGGAAAAATCGTCGACTCCGATTCCCCAAATTGGGGAGAAACGGAATTTGGCAGTCTCGAAATCAATTTGGCCTTTGGGTTCAAATCAGTTAAGGAACATTGCGAATATTTAAATTGTTATTTATTCGGAAATTATGATAATAAAGTTGACTTGACCTAAACGTCAATTTCTATTCAATGCTATTATCGTTTTTCGACGTCACACTAATAAATTGCAATCGTCTTGTTTTGAACGAGATTTGTATTAATCAACATCGTCACCTATAAGGGCATTGTTTGAGTGTCATTAAACACTTAAAAAGAGACGAAAGGGTTGAACAATTGTCAATCGTCAACAAAACACCGAATCTGAACTCAAAGTCAAAGTCAAAAATGGATTGCTCTTTTCAAAATCTTTAAAAAACATACATTGAGGCGACCCTCTTATCTCAAACGCACTGTATATATTATATAACATGTTATTTTTGACTTTAGTTCAGATTCGGTGTTTTGTCGACAAAAGGTGTATTTTTTAATTGTTTTATCATTGCTCTTTTAATATTTTATATTCTATCAATAAAGAGCAAAAAGAATTTCCTCGGTCATGGTCGTAAACGTAGAGGTGAATCTACGTTCCACAAGCGTTCCCTAGCTATGCTAGGTTTCAAATTTAAATGTTCTAAAAACCACTTACCTGTCCCAAAAATGAGGCAAGTTGCTCGTCATTTTTGGGACAAGTGAAGTCAGTTCACCTGCGGCTGGTTGCCTAGAAAGTGGGGAATTTTTTTTTTCGAAAAATTGCCCTAAAAACGAGTTCCAGGAAAAAAAAGTATCCTTATACTTTCCAGATGGTCGGACAATACTGAGCGATCGCTAGTTGGAAAGCTGTCTTTCCGCTCTATCTGTTTTAGCGCGTTATGGTGTATAGCCGCTTCGCAATCATTACTTTTTTCGGACAGACCCTGTATGGTAACGCCGTCCAAATTTAGTTTTGAACCTTAATCTTTAATGTACACGGTGTCCCATTTTCGAAACTTTTGTTTCCGAAACCTAGGAATTTTGAAATTTCGAATTTCGCATAGGTACATTCGAGAGTACATTAATCTTGTCTAGTTTCCTTTTTGGAAAGGTACACAAATGTGAACTACGAAAATCATTTTTTGTTTGCCTAGTCCTAGGAATTGCAAACATTTTCTAATAAACATTCCCGAATCCTAGGAATTTTGCACGTATTTTGTGGGGATTCGGTAAGAATTCTGAATTTGAAGCGTTCGTTTCATAATAATAATCGACAATTCCAACCTCTAAAAGATTTAGAATTTTCTAATTTAACAGTCCCAAATTCTAGAAATTTTGAAATCACGAATTCCGTATTAATTCATAAATTAGCTCGCCTTTTGAAGCTTCAAGGTTTCGTGTCATAAAAAATCGACAATTTCAACCAACCTTGGAATTTTCTAATTAACAGTCTCGAATCCTAGGCATTTTGATAACATGGATTTCGAAATAATTCTAAAATCAAATTGTCCTTTGGAGTTTCAAGTTTTTGTTTCATAAAAGTCGAGAATTCTAACCCGCCTTTGAATTTTCTAATTAATAAGAAAAAGTGTTTTCCCGAGAAATTTTGGTGTAGTCGATTTTTGGTAAAAAAGGAAGGTTATACACTGCCTTTTTTTGAGCCCCGAAAAAAAAATTGTCTCAGATCGACCCGGAAAAAAAATTTTCTTATAGAATGTGGCCTGTAGAATCCATAATTTCAAACAGTTCCAAGATTGGGCCACTAGTTCAAAAGTTACAGCCCTTTGAATTTTTTTTCGAAATTGGTTTTCTAGTCTATAACTTTTGATTAAGAAGTCTGGTCGAAAAAGTACGAATTGATTTGGATTCTTTGCACCCAAATTAATAAGAAAAAGTGTTTTCCCGAGAAATTTTGGTGTAGTCGATTTTTGGTACAAAAGGAAGGTTATACACTGCCTTTTTTTGAGCCCCGAAAAAAAATTGTCTCAGATCGACCCGGAAAAAATTTTTTCTTATAGAATGTGCCTGTAGAATCCATAATTTCAAACAGTTCCAAGATTGGGCTACTAGTTCAAAAGTTACAGCCCTTTGAATTTTCTTTCGAAATTGGTTTCTAGTCTATAACTTTTGATTGAGAAGTCTAATCGAAAAAGTACGAATTGTTTTGGATTCTACGCACCAAAATTAATAAGAAAAAGTGTTTTCCCGAGAAATTTTGGTGCAGTCGATTTTTGGTAAAAAAGGAAGGTTATACACTGCCTTTTTTTGAGCCCCGAAAAAAAATTGTCTCAGATCGACCCGGAAAAAAAATTTCTTATAGAATGTGGCCTGTAGAATCCATAATTTCAAACAGTTCCAAGATTGGGCTACTAGTTCAAAAGTTACAGCCCTTTGAATTTTCTTTCGAAATTGGTTTCTAGTCTATAACTTTTGATTGAGAAGTCTGATCGAAAAAGTACGAATTGTTTTGGATTCTACGCACCAAAATTAATAAGAAAAAGTGTTTTCCCGAGAAATTTTGGTACAGTCGATTTTTGGTAAAAAAGGAAGGTTATACACTGCCTTTTTTTGAGCCGCGAAAAAAAATTGCCTCAGATCGACCCGGAAAAAAAATTTTCTTATAGAATGTGGCCTGTAGAACCATAATTTCAAACAGTTCCAAGATTGGGCTACTAGTTCAAAAGTTACAGCCCTTTGAATTTTCTTTCGAAATTGGTTTCTAGTCTATAACTTTTGATTGAGAAGTCTGATCGAAAAAGTACGAATTGTTTTGGATTCTACGCACCAAAATTAATAAGAAAAAGTGTTTTCCCGAGAAATTTTGGTGCAGTCGATTTTTGGTAAAAAAGGAAGGTTATACACTGCCTTTTTTTGAGCCCCAAAAAAAATTGTCTCAGATCGACCCGGAAAAAATTTTCTTATAGAATGTGGCCTGTAGAATCCATAATTTCAAACAGTTCCAAGATTGGGCTACTAGTTCAAAAGTTACAGCCCTTTGAATTTTTCTTTCGAAATTGGTTTCTAGTCTATAACTTTTGATTGAGAAGTCTGATCGAAAAAGTACGAATTGATTTGGATTCTACGCACCCAAATTAATAAGAAAAAGTGTTCTCCCGAGAAATTTTGGTGTAGTCGTTTTTTGGTAAAAAAGGAAGGTTATACACTGTCTTTTTTGAACCCCGAAAAAAAAATTGTCTCAGATCGACCCGGACAAAAAATTTTCTTATAGAATGTGGCCTATAGAATCCATAATTTCAAACAGTTCCAAGATTGGGCTATTAGTTCAAAAGTTACAGCCCTTTGAGTTTTTTTTTGAAATTGGTTTCTAGTCTATAACCTTTGATTGAGAAATCTGATCGAAAAAGTACGAATTGATTTGGATTCTACGCACCCAAATTAATAAGAAAAAGTGTTTTCCCGAGATATTTTGGTGTAGTCGATTTTTGGTAAAAAAGGAAGGTTATACACTGCCTTTTTTTGAACCCCGAAAAGAAAATTGTCTCAGATCGACCTGGACAAAAAATTTTCTTATATAATGTGGTCTGCAGAATCCATAATTTCAAACAGTTCCAAGATTGGGCTACAAGTTCAAAAGTTACAGCCCTTTGAATTTTTTTTCGAAATTGGTTTCTAGCTCGGTTTCTAGTCTATAACTTTTGATTGAGAAGTCTGATCGAAAAAGTACGAATTGATTTGGATTCGACGCATCCAAATTAATAACAAAAATTGTTTTCCCGAGAAATTTTGGTGTAGTCGATTTTTGTTATAAAAGGAAGGTTATACACTGCCCTTTTTTGTGCCCCGAAAAAAAAAATTGTCTCAGATCGACCCGGACAAAAAATTTTCTTGTAGAATGTGGCCTGCAGATTCCATATTTCCAAACAGTTCCAAGATTGGGCTACTAGTTCACAAGTTACAGCCCTTTGAATTTTTTTTCGAAATTGGTTTCTAGTCTATAACTTTTGATTGAGAAGTCTGATCGCAAAAGTACGAACTGATTTGGATTCTACGCACACAAATTAATAAGAAAAAGTGTTTTCCAGAGAAATTTTGGTGTAGTCGATTTTTGGTAAAAAAGGAAGGTTATACACTGCCTTATTTTGAGCCCCGAAAAAAAAATTGTCTCAGATCGACCCGGAAAAAAAATTTTCTCATAGAATGTGGCCTGTAGAATCCATAATTTCAAACTGTTCCAAGATTGGGCTACTAGTTCAAAAGTTACAACCCTTTAAATTTTTTTTCGAAATTGGTTTCTAGTCTATAACTGTTGATTAAGAAGTCTGATCGAAAAAGTACGAATTGATTTGGATTCTACGCACCCAAATTAATAAGGAAAAGTGTTTTCCCGAAAAATTTTGTTGTAGTCGATTTTTGGTAAAAAAGAAAGGTTATACACTGCCCTTTTTTGAACCCCGAAAAATAAATTGTCTCAGATCGACCCGGAAAAATAATTTTCTTATAGAATGTTGCCTGTAGAATCCATAATTGCAAACAGTTCCAAGATTGGACTACTAGTTCAAAAGTTACAGCCCTTTGAATTTTTTTTCGAAATTGGTTTCTAGCAGGATTTTATACTTTGTGCTTAGCTATTTATATTAAACAAAACGGAACCAACGCGGCCAACGTCTTCTTTAAACCAATAGCAGACGATCACCTTTTGCTTACACTGTAAGAACTAATAAGGTTCGTTGCTACTTTACTGACAACCCACACGTTCTAGATGCGCACATTTATTGCTAATAACCTGATCCGCGCACACTATCCGTACAAAGTGGTATATATTATGATCTAATCTAATTTTTCCCATACGTATATAAAATTACAACAAATCAATTACGACAAATGATGTCAATTGCAGCGATTTTTCGGTCGCCGAGGTGTCCTGCAATTGATGAATTTTGTGCTACATGCAAAAGTTCGAAGTTTGTATCAAATGATCTCAACTGAATTTGAACAAAGGGGATAGTTACTGTTCAGGTTAAAAAAAA